ATGTGAGGTGGGAATTGTAGGGATAATGCATATAGGAACAACTTACATGGTTGTAAATGATGTGCTGGGCACTTATATCGACAACTTTTATACCTTGTGGTGTAAAGTCACCTGAGCCTTAGAGAGGTGAAGGAATTTGCTTAAAGTTATGTAATCAAAAAGCAATATACACACACACATACATACATGTATACATATATGTGTGTATGTGTCTGTGTGTGTATATAGTTCAATGCTTGTCTGTGTTGCTTTAAATAAATATATATACACATACATATATGTGTATATATATTTATTTAAATATTAGATGTATTATGTAATAAAACATATAATATTATACATATAATAATACATATTATTATATGTATATATAAAGCAACATAGACAAGCATTGAACTCAGGCTTTCTGGTTGAATCTCCATGCACATGACTATGACCCCACCTTCTTCTGATGCAGTTATAATTTTGGGAGTTAGACACCTTCCTGACTTGGTTGCTCTTGCCTTATGATCTGTCCATGCATACCACATGTGGCCAAATCACCCATCCTGGTTGGCCCTTCTGCTTATGCCCCATTCCTGAGGCTTTCCCAGTGGATCATGTGTGAAATCAGTCAGTAGCTCTGCTGGGGGAAAGTTGGGCAGCCCGGCCCTTGTTCTGATGGTCACATTTTACACTTGGATGGGAAATCCATCCAAAGCTGTACCTTCGCATGCGAATGAAGGGAGCAGAATAATAACACCTTGTCAACAGACAATATTGCTGCTGCTATGGGCTTTACTCCAAACTGAGTGTCTTCCCACCCCTGGGAGGTGTAGAAGTGAATTACCCATGGCAGAGACACTGCTTCCCTTGTTTGGCTCAGATGGCCCTTGTTCCCTTCTCAGTGCATGTCTCTGTTTCATCATCGCTGTCACCACACCCAAAGAGTGGTTACATTGGGCACTTCTGTACCATCAGGGATTTGGGTGGATTGGAGAAAACTAGAAAATTATGATTTAAGTGCTTTTGGAAGTAGTTTTAAAGAGTGGCTTTGGAATTATGAAAATCTACATGGCTTTTTAAAAAGTTTATTTGCCAATGACTCTCATTTCTACAGACACAAATACAGATTTGAAACCCAGGTCAAACCAGCAGTCTCTATTTCTGACTTGAGTCCTGACGTTAGGGTGAAAAGTGATGAAGAATATTCTTTTGTGGGACTAGGTGATTTTCCTCTTCCAGATAAACAAATACTTGCAGTTTTTAGGACAACATATAATTTTTAGTTCCTTCTGATATATTACTATACTATTATTAACATAAAAGGTCTCTTCAAATTCTTTTTCAGAAGAAGATGGGCCATCATCACATACAAATAAATGAAATAATATGCATAGCAGTGTTATAAGTAGAATAGAGGCAGCCGCACGGGAGACACAAATCCTAATGTGTAGAAAAGCCTATTCAGACACAAATATCGTTTAGCAAAGCTGCCTTTGATGAAGGATTCTTAATGTTCTTGCAAGAATAATTCACCGCTCAGTGAAATTTTTATCCTGAGCATACATACTCAATCGGAGTCACTCTTCTGCAAGGGGCATGTGTAAATATGTAAACTAGGTTGAGACACAGGGCTTAGCTGTACTGTCTCTGAGGATGGGCCAGTGGAACTGTATGTTCTGTTTCACAATATCTATTGCGTTCTGTCCTGGTTATCTACGCTGTGTAACAAACTGTGGCTTAAAACAACAGATTTTTACTGTTGCGCAGAGTTGATGGGCTCAGCCGGGTGTTCTCACTTAGGGTCCCTCATACAGTTGTTCTTAAATGGAAACAGAGTCTGGTGTCATCTGAGGCTTCTTTACCCACATTTCTGGTGTCTTGTCTGGCACCAGATTCAGCCTTAAAAGTCACTCTGCTAAAATCTGTTGCTTAAAGGAATCCCAAGCCCAACCCCTGTTCAATGAGAGAGAGAAGAATCCCAAGCCCAACCCCTGTTCTATGGGAGAGAATGAGCTGTATATACAGGGAAGAAAGGCGGTAACGGCAGCCATCTTTGACAAGAGCTACCACAGGTCTCAACACACATAGGATCGACACTGCAGTGACAATACTAAATGGAACATCGCCCTTCTGTTGAGGAGATGCTGGGGTGATCCCAGTCATAGAAGGGGATAGGCTGATAGAAATGAAGCTCATTGTAGACACAGATGGGACTGTAGAGGTATTCAGATACCCCCGCCCCCAGCACCCCCCTAAGAAAAAATGGCCTGGAGAAGCAGCTTTTTGTATTTGGACCAAGACGGGTGACAATTTCTTGAACGGATCAAAGATCTACAACATATCTGTCGTCGGCTCCGCCCTGGGAGGGAGACAGGTGGGTAAAACAGTTGCTCTGTGAATGTCTGCTTCCCAAAGAGAACTCTTGTTCCTGGATAACCTCATGACCCTGACAAAAAACTAATGGCAAATCATCCTGTGCCATACTTTCTTTGGTTCTTTCTATAGATGATCAGACTGATGAAAAGCATTAGGAGCCTTTGAGCTAAAGGTGCAGACCTGCTTTTTAACCATTAGCCAATCGGGTGCACCTGGGTGGCTCAGTGGGTTAAAGCTTCTGCCTTCGGCTCCGGTCGTGATCTCAGGGTCCTGGGATCGAGACCCGCATCAAGCCCCGCATCGGGCTCTCTGCTCAGTAGGGAGCCTGCCTCTCTCTGCCTGCCTCTCTGCCTGCTTGTGATTTCTGTCTGTCAAATAAATTAAAAAAAAAAAATTTAACCATTAGCCAATCGTGTCTTCTTTGCTAAAGAGACCAGAAGGCATAAAGAGATATGACTGTATTTTACTGCATAGAGTTTGTTTCTTAGCTCTTAGACACAGCTCATGCCACCTCCTCAGAGAGACCTTTCTGACCATCCTGTTCAGAGAAGGGAAGTCTCTCTCTGTTCCCAATTTCTATAACTCTGCCCCATCACGATGTTTGTTTTCCTCACTGGGCATACCACCACCTGTATTCATCTTGTTTGTTTAATCCTTACTGTTTTTCTCCCTCCACCAGAATAGAGCTGACTTATTCACTTCCTGGCACACAGTAGTTGCTCAGTAAATGTCTTTTTTTTTTTTTTCTTTAAAATAAAAGAACAGACTTTAGAGTCTGGAAAGAAGTGCCCTCGTGACCACTGAAATGAATTTAGTTAGACTAGTATTCATTCTCCTTCTGGAGTAGAGAAAACTGAAGTGTAAAATTCCCTAGAAGTCCAGATGTGCCCCAAATCTTCTACTTTATTTGAAATTCAGCTTTGGCACTACTCTGAAATCAGGCCTGGAACTGGTTTCTACCATGTCCATTTATGGTTGATACATTTGGGGAAAGGCTAGATTTAGGCTTTGGGTAGGCAGGACCCTATCTTGTTATGCCCCAAATATGTTGGATTAGAATTGATCTATCTATTCCAGAATTCATGGTTTCTAATTCCTGGCAGATATACCAGAGAAGGCCTGAGGATTCAAGATCAAGAAACTAAAAGGCTGCCCCTCCAAAGGCATGTGTCTTTCAAAGGCTCTTTGGGTTTGTGTAGGTGGCCAAGTTGCATAGTGTGGTGATCAAGTGCATGGATCCTGGAGCTGGGGTGTATCCATCACCACTGCTTACAGCTATGGAGCTCTGCAAGCTTACTTAACCTCTCTGCTTCAGTTCTCTGCTTGGTAAAAATGAAGATTTTTACCCACTTCTACCTACACTTTTGGCATAGGTTAATATGGAACGCACTCGAAATAGAACCTGGCACTTGATAAGAGTCATCTAAGTGTTTGCTAACGTTACTGTTCATAGATGCCATGAACAGAGTATGTTAGAACCTGCTCTGGACAGCAGTGAAAGTAACTGATAGCAGGTGGATTATGGGCCAGCTTTTTCTTTCCAGAAATTTTCTTTAAGGTTGTAGTTTTACCGTTTTCATGAAAAAATCATCTCTTATAATGTTGATGAAAACTATATCCTTACCATGGTGAAAAAACTGTATCTTTATAAGGACAATTATACACTATACCTTTTCATTTAGGTGGGAAGGAAGGTGAATATAACCTGGAGAGACAAACAGACCCACAGAATATCTGCTGCTGGTGCTCATAAAGATTCCACGTCATAAACGAAGGGCACGGTCAGTCTTTGAGATGGTCAAACACCAGCTGGTGGTGGCAGGGTAGGGCAGTCCATCTGGTGAGGTGGGTGGACAGCCTGGACTTCTAGGCCTGGCTGCCACTTTCTAGCAGTGTGAAGCTGGGTGAACCAAATAATAAGGCCTTTGGTTTGGTTTGCATATCTGTGAGATGGGGATAATAATTCTAGCCTAACCAAAAGCATGGTGATGTCCAAAGGAGAAATGAATAGGAAGGACTTTCACAGTGGTTAGTTTTTATAAAAACATCAAACACTCATCTTCCAAGAACCTAGAAAGTCCTGTTTTCTCTATATACCTCTATATATCCCAGCTCAACCCTCCCACCCCCAATTCCCCTTGTCTCCCTGGGCTCGAGTTCCTTTATTTTAAGCTAAATATTTTGACTTCTATTGACATAAAATTACAGTTGAGATATGGGACACTTCATTCTAGGGGTTATTTTCAAAGGGATATCTTGGCGTGAGTTTAGGGGACTAACTATATAAATGGGCATCTGGGAGAAGAAATGGGTATAAAAGAGGAAAGCTGGCAGGTAAAGAAGGTTATAATTAGTTGATTTAAGGCTGGCCTTATTAACAGCAAAAGCAAATGGACTATGTCGCCTAAAAAACTGCTTTAGAATTTAGTGACTCACAAGCAACAGATGGGAGGAGTGACCTTTGTTCTCAGACAGCCCTGGATTCAAATCCTGACTCTTCAAGTCACTTGACTTCTTAGGACTACTATCAGTGAAATGGGGGCCGTCGCACCAGCATCCCAGGGTGATGACGACTGAATGAGCTGAAGGGGGAAATGTGGAGCATGCAGCTGATATCTAGCTGAGACGGGGAGCCTCACCAGGAATTTCCGTTTCTGCTTCCAGTGGCTGCCTTGGGCATTGGTGGCCACGTGGGCTTCGGTGACAGTTTTGATGAGCTCCCACTCCTCGTCTGTGGGCTCCGGCTTGTGCCCAATGGATTTCTGCAGCTCTTCCCGCCGTCTTTTCTCCCGGTTCTCCTCAATCAGCTTCCTCTTCGCCAGCCTCTTGCTGTCATCCAGGACCACTAGGAGGGGAAGAAAGATGAGACGAAACACAGGGACACGCGCAGACACTTGGCAGATTGCACATGCGCCCTGGACCACCCACGCACAGATGGCTGAGCAGGTCCTGCGGGGTGGGTCACATTGGGATATTTTCTCCCCTTGGCAGCAAACTGCCATTGACTAGCTGTGGTCTGACTCGAGATCTAATGCGAACTCCCAATGCCTGGCCAGCGTTTTGAAACAAAGCCCTGGGGGAAGTTGGGCAGTGAGCATCCCACCTCCGCAGAAGGTGGCCCTAAAGAAGGAAGCAGAAGGAAGTAAAATCTGTCCTAACCATGGGTTCCCAGATGAGTCTGTATTCAGTCAATATGAGTCTATAGCTAATTATCTGGATTGACTCCCAGGGTCTCTGTTCCTCTTCGCCTGCCCTCAAATGGCTTAGTAAAAAGAATTTCAGATTAAACGAAAGTTCTGGAACAGTAAACAGGAGGCTAATGATCTCTTCCTCAGATGAAAAGGACCCCAACTCTTTATTAGCTCCCTCAAGAGCCCATTGGAATGAAGCTGGGCCTATCTCAGGCTGCCCAGGTACTCACTTTGCTCTAGTCTCTACCTGGTCTACCCTCAACGGTGGTTAAAGAGCCCAGGCTTTAGAATCCAGAAAGAGCTGAGTTTGAATCCTGACACTACCACATTCTAGCTGTGTGACTTCTGGCAAGTTGCTTAGGCTCCTTGAGCTTTCATTAATTCCTGTATAAAACGGGATCAATAATATCCACCTCACAAGGCGTTCAAAGTGTTAATGCACTACAGGTGGTCAGTAAATAGAGCCATGACTTTTGCCACTTATGCAAAATGAACATAAGAAGGACAGAAAACAAGAAACCTCTACTTCTGTGGTTATTTTCCAGAACAAAACCATTTTACAAGACTCTTAGTAACTATCAATGGAATGGACAGGCTCAGGTTTTATGCTACCGAGTCATAGTATTTTAGAACTGGAAAGAACCTTCGGTATTATCTAGCCCAACTCCCTCCTTTCACAGAGGAGGAAGTTGATCCAGAGAAATCATGACTTGCCTAAAGTCACACAGCAAGTTCATGGCAGAGCCAAGGCAAGACCCAGGACTCCTGATTCCAGTTCTACAACATCATTGTCCTAGGGCCATTTCTTGATGAAGGTGTGACCTGGTAGGAAAAGAAAAAAAGCAAACATAGCAGGAGGAAGAGAACCAAAAGTACTCAGCTAATACATAAACAGAATAATGAAACCCCAGGTCATCTAGGTTGGATTGCATCATCCAAATCAGGTGAACAATGGCAAATGTGGGAAATGCGAATGAGCCCTGTTAGGTCACTTTGGTTTCCCTAGTAAAGGGACAAGCAGTGGGCTCTACTCATAGCCCCATTTCCCAAGTGCTTCCTTTGTGCCTTTGTGGCATTTGATATCATGCATTATCTAATTTAATCCTGAAAACAACTTAAAAGGTAGACAATGATTTCATGTAAGGGAAACCAGAGATTAGGTCTGATGGTCACACAGCTAGTAAGTGACAGATATGGGACTCCAACAGCTTTTCTGATTATAAAGCCTGAGCTCTTAAAATGCCTCATAGGGTGCATTCAAAATTAATTTCCACCTAGTCAAGATTAACACTGAGCTTTTTTTAACTTTATAAACATTCCTATTTTTAACAATCAAGCAATGAAATGGACATTCAGTAGTAACAGTCCCTTACACTGACATATCTAAATATTTGGTTCTAGGTCAATCATTTTCACGTATCCTTATCGGGCATATTGTTGGTAATGGCTGAAAGTCTTTAAAAGATGAAGACAACACACTCAGCCAGAGGTGGGGATTAACCCAGGATTTCCAGCCTAAAGCTCTCACACAACCCTCCTCCTTTTTAAAGATTCCCCATTCTATCTTCTTTAATGGGCAAAGCAGGACATTTCACGGATTTTTTTGTTCTAGCTGAGAGAACCCTGTTTGTCACATAAATGTGAGCCGTGATTATTTCCTCTTTCCTGAGGAAAATCCTCATTACATCCTTTTCTTCTTTCTTTCCTTTTTTATTTTCTTTCTTTTTCTTCTTTTTAAACTACAAGTTGGAAACTTTCATTGAGATGCAAAACACTTATACCAACAGAAACCATTAACACTGATTTGACTGGCAAAACGGAGGCCACACATTCTGAATGACACAATTCTTTTTATTAGATTAATTAAAGTGACTGGTGTAAATCCTTTGCACGGTGCGGGAAGAAGAGACTCCAGTGGCTAATCTCACCACCATATGCTGTGGCACTTTGAAAACTGGGTAGGAGGACTGGGGCTTAGAATGTTTTTATGGGCTAAAAATATAACAAACAACCAATGGCAGGATGACTCATGCGATAGCACTCGACTTCACATTCTTCAAAAATTACTGAACATGATGTTTTCTGCTAGTGCCCCATCTCCAAAAATGTCCACAAAATAAATTCCTGTCTCTGCCTTTGAAAAACATTAGGACTAGTCCATGAGACTCTCACCACACAAATGTCATAGGTAAAATTACGCCTCATCAAGGGGGACTGATATGACGGTGCATTCGTAATCTGTTGTGAACAGAGAATTGCTAACAGTCCTGCAGATGTGTTAGGGATAATTTAATCACTTCCTCTCCCATGTGATCTCTTTGAGAGTTGGGAGTTGATAGGGAAGGTTAGGATGGAAACCATGCAGCAGTGCCTGCGAGTGAGGGGTCTGTGGGAGTACTAGGTGTCTTCTCTCTGTCCACATGGGTTCCTGCCTTCTTTTCTGTCTGGTTGATCTCCTTGAACCAAATCTTTCCCCAATCAACACTTCTTGAATATGAAACAAAGGAAGAAGATTACTTACAATCTGTTGCCATGCCAACATAGATGCATTTTTTAAAGCGACATTCCTGGCACTGATTTCTGGTAACTTTGTCTATGACACATTTTCCTTCATATTTACAGGAATAGGATGGATGGAGATTTTTTTGAATGGTTCTTCTAAAGAAACCCTACATGGGAAAGAAAGACCCAAGAGAACAGTTTCATATTTTCTAGAAATAAATGGCTCCAGAATTTTGTGTCCAGATAACTGTGATAGATTGGTTTGGACCTTACCTGTATATAGTCCTGTAGTTCCTACCTATTCACATACAGGACAGTTAGCCTAAACTGAATCTAAAGAATTCTAAATCTGAGATGAAGGAAATGTCTAGGACTATAGACAAAGTCAGTATCTTTTTGGCATTTTGTAAGGAAAAAAGGTTAATGGGAAAAATCTAGTGTTCATTTTTATTTTTTCTACACATTGAGTAATTTAAATAAATTATATTATTTCATTTCATAGAGTGGCATAATTGTGTTGTTAAAGTAAGCTGTGAAGAACCTTGCTATACTTTGTGCTGGAGAATAAAGGAGCTGCATACTTGTAATACTCTATTAATTAATAATTTAATTTATTAATTAAATGGATGCATTGAACAACCTTTATAGATTTAGTTTAGTTCTTGTTTTTGACCCTTGAAAGGTCCATGGCCAGCTCAGATAACCCTTGAAACAGTGCTTGGGGAGTAGAAAATTCCTGACTCTCCACCCAATTTTTCTCACTGCACACTGCATTGGGGTTTTTCCTTTCACAGTATTCTTTCTTTCCAGTGTCGGTCGGCATACACCTTGAGGTTCAGTAGGTGTCTTCCTTTCTTAGGCATGGGAGAGGGCCACCATAAAGGCAGCTTAGGATGCCATTTAGTCCAGATTTAGGTGACATAAACCTTCTCAAAGGTGTATTCTAGCAGAACCTTCCTGGACATGGTACTCCTGTCTTGGCAATGGTGCTTCTGCATTGTATCACTCATGATAGCAGAGAGCATGCTCTTATTGTAAGGGGCCCATTGCAAAGTGCTGTAGATACCTTCTCTATACTTCTGTCTCTTTTACAACCTTATGAAGTAGGTACTCGTAATATCTTCACGATAGGTATTAAAAAACTAAGGCTCTGACAGGTTCAATCACTTGCCCCAAATTGTGTGGTAAGTACACTATGGAACTCAGCCTAGAGCTCAGGAGTCAGACTCCAAGTCTTATTTACCTAACTGCTGATAGAATATGAACTGAATCCAATTTCACTATATAATTTAAATGTTTTAGATGGACATATTTTAAATAGCAGCCCCCTACCTTTGTTCTATCTGTTTTAGTAGACTCACAAGGGAAAAACAAATGTTGAAGGATACTGTCTACTAAAGCTTAAAGGGACCTCTAACTTTATTACAGAAATAGGGACTGACATACCAGCTGGCCTAGATTAAGCCCAAATTTGAATGATCCTGTTGAACTTTCCTTCGCTTTGGTTATGTACATATGCCACTTGCATGTTCACTCACACAGAAGACCTTATAATGAAAAGGTCAAACGTAAGATTTTATATTGGGCAAAGCAGGATGAAATAGAAAAATGACAGCCATGACTGAAACTAGTGGACTTGATTTGGGGGCATCTGTGCAAATCCCTTATCACTTCTATTCAAGTTCTAACAGGAAAACTGCCCCCATTATTTTTTGGATTTTGTATCCTTAAACACTTATGTCCTTTGGTTTGAATGATGTTGCTGTCATGTTCTAAGATTCACTCCATCACACATGGGCAGCTCTGTCATGCTGGCGGTCTTTCTCTGGGTATTCAAGGTGGGCACATTCTGTTAGAGCATGAATGTCAGAGCATGCCACAGTGCTGAAGGATAAGCTACCCTGTGAACCTCCCTACCCTCCCTCTGCTGCCCTCTCTCCAGTCTACCCTTCCTGGATCATCCCTGCCCGGTGAGCAAAGCAACCTGGAAATTCCTGGTGAGAAGACATGTGTCACAGGCAGAGAGGAGAGTGGCTGGGTAGCATACCTCCTTCTGGAGGAAGCAGAGTTTCCCTAGAGGTGGCAGCACCAAAGTCCGGGGCATCAGGGCGAATGTGTGCTGCTAGGAGGATAGGAAAGTTGTTGGGGAGACCCTTTTCTCACACATACTCTGATGCTGACTTATGTTCTAGAAGGGGGGGTGGAGCATACTGACAAGTCTGACAATATTAAGGAGAGAATGAGCTGTGGTACCAGACAATGGGGTAACATTCATTTTCCCAAAAAGGCTACTCTGTGAACTTTTAAATGGAATGAATGAAATAATTTATACTTTGCTTATGTTGAGAAAGGTATTGGGGTGGCAGGCTTTGCTATTCATAGTATCATCTTTTCTGTGGTTTCTCTCTGATGACTTGGGGGCTTCATGGACCAAATCCCCTTTAAGACGTTGGCTTCCCCTAAGTTATAATAAAAACATATTTGACATATGATAAGGAATCACTTCATGTGAGTAAACATGTAAAGATGCTAGATCCCTTAATTTTAAAAAGTGACAAAAATTAACTTCTGGAAGTAAATCGAATAGACAATATTTAATGTAGTCTACCTATAAAATTCTTCTTAGAGGTGAGCTAACAAAAGACATGTTCTAGGGACTAAATAAGGCCATATATTTCATTGATGATTTTTTGGTGAGGAGAGGTTTTACTTTTATTGATCAACATCAGACATGTTTCTTGGCATTTGGAGAACTGGATCCACTTCTTCGTGGTCTGAGATGACGCTCTGATTAGTGTGATAAGTAGCTGAGTGTCAATATTTGGGCAACTGCTAAAAGCTATGAGTCTTTCTTACAAAAATAGTTTGTTGTGGGGAAGTATCAACATTCTTTCTATAAAAGATGCATAAAACCCGACTCATCAAAACAGACAAAACAGCTCCAAAAGATTTTTGCTGTCTTCAGGGCAAAATGGGCAAAAAAGATTCTCCCCGTATACATGTGAGTGTGGGGTAGAATTATTTTCAGAATGTAGGTTTGAATAAACAATATGTGAAGCATAACCTTTTTCATCTTTGGCCGCTCCTAAAAACTGTGTTTCATTTGAAAAACTCCATTGTTTTTTCCAAGATACTTTGTCTTTATATTAAATGCATGATCTGCATAATTACCCTGGGAAAACTGCTTTCTGATTTATGATGGAGGCAATCTTAGAAATAAGATTCTGATATGAGATAAAGAGAAAGAGGATGAAAAAAATCTAGCTTTTTGCTATATGGGGGTAAACCTCAGTTGAATCAGGCCCCAAATATCCTGTGATCTTGGAAAAAGAGGCTAGTGGACTTCTTGATCATCATGAAGATATACATGAAGCAGGGACATGGGCTAATAGGCTTGATTTTCCCTTTGTTTAAGTCAGTCACTAATAAGAATTAAGTTCTCTGTAAAGCACATTTGGTCTTCAGAGTCACTTTGGGAGTTGAGTGTATTAAATGGAATTTTCATTAGGATCTCTCCCAGAATTAAGAATTTGCCATTAGGAACTGATTTGAAAGAATCTCAATCCTGCATAATCAGGTAGGCAAAAGCTTTATGAATTGGGGCTAATGTAGAAAAAAGGTCCATTTGAATTACTGAGCTTTCAGAGTGAGAGAGTATATCGAAAGTAATGCAGTGTTATTACTTTCAAATCAAGCCAATAAAACTGCTTTTAAGAGACAGTCTGCAAGTCCCCCAATTAATAAATAGTCAGGACTTACTTTTATTTGCTTCCATTAAACTCCTTAAGACATTATTTTCATGGAGGTAATAGCAATCTTTGGCACAGTCATTGTTAAAAGGTACAAATTCCAGATCAAAGGGGTCTGGATGAATGAGAGCATACTAGAACATATCACAAAAGTCTTGCAGATATAGGGCCTTGGGAACTTAGAAACGCCCTGATGTGCCCTGATTCCAATGACTCCATTGATTCCATTTCAATTCTTCTAGCAGGCTTCCACTAAGTGTTTCCTAATTTCATGCACAAAAACTAGGGAATTTGCACGGAAAGTCTTCCATTAGGGAAATGGGCACCTTACCTTGAAACCAAGCTACCATGCTGACTTTTGTGGTTTACGGTCAAAGGGAGGAAACGGGGGTATTTGGAGGAGGGGAAGAAAGAGGAGGAGGTGAGGTGGGTGACAGAGGAGGGAAGAATGAATCGTTTTAGATAGTTTAATCCAATCTTTGCTTTAGGGTTTACATCTTGGGATCATTTGGTCTTAAATATAAAAAGTAAATAGAAAATTTCACTTGATCTTAGCCAAAAGGCCGAGAAGTGATAAAAAAGTAAATAAAACATTTAACAAGTAAACATTAAAGAAATCTTTCCCCTGACTTACTATACTTCCTCATTTATAAAACATGAGCCGAACGCTGGATCTAGCACTGGGTTGAGCTTTTTTTATTTTTATAGTAGACTCTATTTTCTAGGCTAGGTTTTTGGACCAAAAGATATTTGCCGGGAAGCTCATCTTAATTTTGATGATGAAGAGTGTAAGTAGGCGAATTTAGGTTCACTTTTGGGAAGTGAACTGTTGATCACGGGTGTATTCTTGTCAAGTGTCTCCTGTAGATGGGTCTGTAGAACATAAAATTAGCTGATGGATGCCCAGAATTTACTTACTGGCTGAAGGCTGTGCAGAAAGCCAATTTGGATAATTTCAGAACGTAATTCAATCTAAGTAACCTCAAAGATTTCTCTAATGGAACCCTTAAAAGTGAGCACATTAAAAAAATAGCAAAAATGATCATATTTACTCAGATTAATAGCATGTGGTAGAGTACATTCTGTCTCCTCAACCACTGGAGATAAAACAGGAGGAGAAATGGTTATTTCTTGGGATAATATATTATAAAATATCTATGCATTTTTAAATTTACAGTGAGAATATTAATTTCTTTTCCTCTTATTAGTTCTCTCCTTGTCTTAAAAGCCAGACATTAAACTCATGCAAATTCATTTAGTTATTGTTGATTTAGGAAAAAAAAATAAATTCCATTATTAAACATGTCAAAAATGGAGGAGGACAGCCACACAAAGGTCCTGGATGATCACAGGCTGTGAGTGTTGGAATCTGGTTCTAATTTGAACTTAAACTTCATGTTGCATTCTAGTGTAATCCTGGGAGAGACACTAGAGCTGGGCTGAGCTCGGAGCTCACTGGTCCCAGGGCAATTACCTTGCAGCCTTCACACGTGATGCAGCGGTAGTGGTACCCGGTGGCTTTGTCACCACACACTACACATAGCTCGTCCTTGTCTAAATAACTGGGGATGTACCCTGTGAAGAAGGAAAAAAGAGGAATGTGAGGAGAAAATATCACACTAAAGTCAAAGACACATCGTAGCTTGGTGGAGGATAAAAGGAGTCCAGGAGGTAACTCACGTGAGGGAGGAGGCAGGACCAAATTATTTTATACACTTTAATCCAATTTTTGCTTTAGGGTTTACATCTTGTGATCATTTAGTTTTAAATATAAAAGGTAAATAAAATATTTAACAAGAAAAATTTAAAGTTTTTCCCTGACTTCATATTCTTCCTCCATATCTTATACTTATCTGCTATCTTCTGTCACACATACAGAGTTGGATAGTAGGCCTAAGATTTCAGAATGCCTTAGAAATGGGTGTGATCATTCTTGCTGTGCAGGTAGGAATACATCTGAAGGCTGCTGAAGCCAATGAATCATGGAGAGAGGCCAAGATTTGAGACATCTGGAGTGCTTAGGTTCTGGAGAACATAATCTCTTTTGCAAGCCTTATTTCAGAACTTTTTCTTAGAAGACTGGATCCACTTTGGAATCAAGGCACCATGCAATAAAATCAGAAAACTTGACAGCTTGGAGATCATCAAGTACTTTTGAGGTGAACAGGCTTTCAGAGTTTTGCTTGGTCTTCCTGAGGGTCACATTAGAAATTAAAGCAGAGATCTAACCAGATCTCCTAACTTCCAGAATAAGCAATGTTTGTCATTTTCTAAAAACAGACAATCAACTTTAAGTAGAATGAACAAAACCATCTAAATTTTTTTTCAAACTTGTGCTGTTATGACACAAAACCCAAGAATTCTGGGTGATGTGAAATAATGATGAGTCTATTTATTAAGAAAAAAAAAGTCCAACTATAATAACTCTCTTTGTTAGTGTACTATTGGTTTCTTAGTTTAAATTCCTTGGCCCAGGAAACTAAAGTTTAAAAACAAAACAGAAGCAGCCTACCTCCCACTGGTCTTTGCCTCTTCCCCTTCACTTGTAGAAAATGCCCAAACACAAAACTGATTCTAAAGGGCAAATTCAGTTTCATATGCTATCAGTGGTTTACTACTGAAGCATGCGTCGTTATATACATATATATATATATGTGTGTGTATATATATATATATATATGTATATTTGTAGCACATGTCTTTAAATGAGTGCAGAAATCAAAACAAGGTCTGCTTTGTTGGGATGTGGAGAAGGGAAAGGCTGAGAAAACAAAATCATTCCTTTCCCTGACCATGGCTCCTTATGAAGTTCTTTGACTTGGTAAACTCTTACTGGTTTCAATACAGATTAGCCATGTTGAAATGACAGATGACTTACTGTATGCTTTACCATGACATTTTCACAGATCTTTTATTAAACTAGGTCACAGAAAGCTTACATTTCAGAAAAATAATTCACAAAGAAAACAGAAGAAAATGAGTCCTTTTCACAGTTTCTTAGAAATTACTTCGCTCAGACTTTATTTTAGAAAAATGGCCTCTCTTGGGAGGGAGACAAATGACTTCAGAGTGAGATCTGGTAATGTACAGGATTATCTTCTTAAATATCACAGCTTTTCTTAGTTTACTTTTATATCCTGCAAACTGTGAGTCATCTGTTGAATTCACTTCAAGAGTTTCAAAACTTCCATCAAACATTTTTGAAAAGAGGATTTGGGGAGGGATCTGGAGAGAAAAAAAGGGGACTGGAATGATTTGTGTGTTTATTCAATCATTCATATATTCATAAATTCAGAAAATATTTATTTAGCATGTACTATGCACTTAGCACTGTGCTTGGTGCTGAGAATATAAAAACAAGGATAGCATGGTTTCTTCCCTTGGTAAGTACACGTGTAGGAAATAGAGATCTTATATTTCCAGTCCTGGTCATTCCTCAACAAGAGAAGAAAGGGTGAAGGTGAAGTAAAGAACATGAAAGATGTTGAACATCACCACAAGGAAATGCAAAGCCCAAACCACAATGAGACACCCCTTAACATCCTCTAGGATGGTTATAATAAAAATGGCAGACAATAATAAAAGTTGGTAAGCATATTGAGAAATATGAACCTTTATATATTGCTGGTGGGAATATAAAATGTGCCTTGGAAAATAGTTTGGCAGTCCCTCAAAAGGTTAAACATAAAGTTACATATGACCCAGCAATTCCACTCCTAGGTGTGTTCCCAAGAGAACTGAAAATAAGTGTCTACACACAGAACTGTACATGAATGTTCAAAGTAGCATTATTTATAATATCCAAAGAATGAAAACAACCCAAGTGCCCATCAAATGATAGATAACAAAAGGCAGTACATTCATACAATGGAATATTATACAGCTATGAGAAGGAATGAGGTAATGACACATGCTGCAACATAGATGAACCTTTAAGAAATGAAAACATTATGTTAAAAGAAAGAAGCCAGATATGAAAGGCCACATATTGTATGATTTCATTTCTAAATGTCTAGAATAGGTAAATTCATAGAGAAAGAAATTAGATTAGTAGATGACAAGGCCTGGAGGGAGGGGGGAATGGGGTATAACTGCTAATGGGTACAAAGTTCCTTTTCATGGTGATGAAAATGTTCTGGAATTGTATAGTGTTGATGGTTGCACAACTCTGAACATACTAAAACCACTGAATGAAAAACCATTGTTTTTCATGGATATGTTTTGTACACTTTCAGTGTGTGAGGTCCATGGTATGTGGAATATATTTCAGTAAAGCTGTTCTTACAAAAAACAATGAAGGGAATAAAAGAGAATGGTTCCATTTGACAAACATTTATATGGGTATACTATGCCAGGTAATGTGCTAAGGATCTAAAGATGGTTAATTCTGGGGGCACCTAGATGGTTCAGTCAGTTAGGCATCTGCCTTTGGCTCAGGTCATGATCCTGGGGTTCTGGGATTGAGCCCCACATCAGGCTCCCGGCTCAGCGAGGAGCCTGCTTCTCCCTCTGCCTGCTGCTCCCTCTGCTTGTGTTCCCTCTCTCGCTGTGTCTCTCTCTGTCAAATAAATAAATAAAATCTTTAAAAAAAAAAAAAGATAGCTAATTTTGCATTCTTGGGGAAGCTTTCAGCGTAGTGAAAAAAGACAGTAACTGATCTTCTGCACATAATATGGTATAGGCCCTGGGATAGGTCTATATCCAGAATTACAAAGGGGAACCCTTTGAGAAGACTTCCTGCTCAGGTAATACAGTTCATTATAGAAAAAATAAATGACATAAATGAACAAAAAGCAGATTTTCCTGTCAACTCTCTACCATAGAGATAACCACTGTAGCATTTTGGTGTTTCTTAATCTTGGATTAGTATGTGTGACAGTGTGTGCACACGTGTTTTTGTGTAGCATTAAAACACAGACTTATAAAACACAAAGTAACTTTTAAGCAATGAAGTAACCTAATTATTAAAATGCACACCTTTCTAGTAAAGGTGGATGGAATATATCCATGTCAGGAAAACTATCTCTTGAACTCTTATATGTAGAGCTTATGTATAGTTGATCAGAGTGAGGAGTTTTCAGTTCTTGGTATCAAGTACACACAGCAGAGATAAGGGAGAGAGAGATAAGGGCACTTCCTTCTCATATTCAGGAACCAATTGCAACATAGTTGGACACTATATTGATTATGGGACATGACTTGGGAAGGCCAGAGAATATTAACCAGAGTTAAGATAGATGCAGGTCCCTCACCATTTCTCACTCTATCTCATGACTTGCCTGCTCTCTCCAGTGATGTTGGCAGTAAGATACTGAAAATTTCCTCCTCCTGTAGTCAACAATTTACAAAGATTGTTGAATTGTTTGTCCTTTAGGTTCTTGTGAACCCTGGAATCCAATGGTAATTCAATCTGTGAGTGGAATAGGCTCCTTCCATTTTCTGACTGCTAGTCCAATGGGTGGTTTGATTTGTTCTCCTTTTTCTCCTAGATTATCTTCTTGGTGGTTAGATGAATAGGTAATTTCTTATGTCTTTAGTGAAATTATTGTGACTTTTACAGAAACATCTACTTAAGTTGGTTACAGTTGCTTATATGGTCATACTAGTATACCCCCACCCATATCTTCCTTTTCTCTAAAATAATCAGAACCATCTTATTTACCCAAACAGTCACCACAGGCAATGATACATCAATTATCATGCCTAAGTCCATTATTCATCATTAAATAACATCCATCAGGGAGTAACATCCTACACATAATTAATAGGTAGGTGAAGATTCTCTTAAGATTGTTCAATCTATTTGACATTATCACATGCTAACTAGTTCTCCCAGAGAACTTAACCATTTCTTGCTCTTCTAGTTTCTGTGTCCCCATCTTTTTCTTTTCTCATGGTTACAAATGAGGCGTGTGCTGGCCAAATATGCCCTGCTAAGGAAAATGCACATATAGCGCTAGTTTTGTTACCAGGAAGGGACACTAAATGGATGTCAGTATTTGGTTCTGTCTGGAAACAAACATGAGAAATACAACTCTGGAAGCCATACTGCTCATCTGAGAATTGCATCTGCAAATTATTTCAAGTGACTGTTGGGGAAACATAGTTAATAACACCCCAGAAAACAATTAAGTCCCCTGTCAGTATGTGATAATCCAAGGGTGATATGTTTTTCCCAGCACTTACATGCTCAGATATCTTGTTTTTTAGACTAATAAACGATGCTGCCATTTTATCAAGCATATTATTATACAAACAAACTCCATTTGTTTGTTAAACAAGTACTTGGAGATTTTTTTATTTTATTGGCAATGTCTGCTTAATTTCCAAGTATTATCCTGCATGTGAGATAGGATGACATGGTCAAATATTACTAACATTTTCCCATCTTATTTGTTAACAGCTTCATTAAGATATAATTCACATAACATACAATTCAATAGCTTTTTCTACTCACAGAGTTCTGAAATTCTCACCATAATCAATTTTAGAACATTTTAATCATCCCCCAAAGAAACCCAATGCCTTTAGAAGTCACTCCTCTTCCTTCTGGCCCTTTCACCCACTTCACCCTA